ATTTTTTAAATTTAAAATTTTATAATTAGATATAAAAATAGATTTTTAGATAATCCTAAGAACATTTACATCAAAAATATATACCATGATAAATTTTGAAGGTGCACATTACCTCTAGGGCTATGGATGCATCCGTATGCCAACTGCACCCTATAGATTGCGCATATCTCTTTGTAAATACATAAAAATATTGAAAATAAAGTCCAAATAATACATTAGAAGGTGCATTATTCCATAACTTACACGAAAAAGTTTATATAGGGTTGCAACCTTAAAATGTAGAATTATAGATGCACCTCAAAAATCCATTGGAAAAGGGTGTTAATATTGAAAAATCTTCTAATTGATCATCTCGATATCGAGATAAAAGAATATGAAAAAAAGAAAAGAAAAAGATAGTACAATAAATAGTACATCTTGCAACACATTCTCTAGACCATCCATTTTCAAGATTTTCATATGTTTATAGATCTACTTGATTTTAACTATTTTTAAAGTTTAAAATTTTATAATTGAATATGAAAATAGATTTTGAGGTAATTTTAAGAAGTTTTTAAACCAAAATTACATATTATGATAAAATTTAGAGGTGCATCTTTATTGGATTGTTTAATGCAACATTATAGAAGCCGCATCCTAACTTAAAACATTTTTTTTTCTTATCCATACATCTTGTGATAGAGATGATCAATTGGAGGAATTTCTAACATTAGAACAACAATTTCCTATGGGCTTTTAGGGTGTGCCTTACTTCTATAGTGTAGGGTTGACACCGTGTATAACAAAAACAATGACAACTTACTTTTATATATGTGGGTACCGTTAGAAAGTCCTCCCATTAAACAATGGTAACAGACTTTTTAAATATCTTTGAAATCAAGAAACTCCTCCATTATTCGGACAAAAGAGGATAGAGATATCTCAAAAGTCAAGAAACAAAAGGATTTTATAAACAATGAGAGTGTTTCTGGTAAAGAAAAACACATGCGCTTCTCAACAACTCCCCAGCTGAAAACAGAAATAAAAAACACAGTGACTAGATCATTGCACAGCACTAACATTTCATTACTTGTACAATCACATTATTTTACAATGTATTAAGTTAGTCAACACAAAGTCGATACAAACACATAAAAGATTAAAAAATAGCTAACTATCAACAATAAATTTCTAATAAAAGATTATTAACTGACTAATTCTCCTCTCTATTGCTTGCCATAAACACTGTCAGTTATAGAACTCTCGCCCAACTTCACCACTTATATCACCCACAATTCCCATTCTATTTTCAACACCTCAACATACAAAGAATGGGAGAGAGAGCAGTTACCTAAAGATCCATTTTCAACACCTCAATATACACAGAATGAGAGAGAGAGAGAGCAGTTACCTAAAGAGGTAGTTCAATTGTTGTTCATCTAATCTTCCTCTCCGCTCTCATCATTGAATTAGATGGTCCTCTTGGCAGAGCGCATCTTATTTTCCACCCTTCTCTCATCCCTCTCCTCAACTCCGCTAGTCTCGACCACTGAGGCCCAATTATCCTCCTCAAACCTCCCCTCATCTTCCTCCTCTTCCTCCGAAAAATCCCCCTCTCTTCCATTCCCCTATTTGAAGGGGCTGGCCTCTCCCTCTGGCCCAACTGATTGCTTGAGCACTCATACAACAAACGCCCCTCCATTTCGCACGTATGAACTCCAACACTCTCCCGTTGTCAGTGACCTATGAGACTTTGTCGAAGGTGGAGAAGTTGGTGAAGAGGTCGGAGTTTGTGAGGGAGAAGTCGAGGTTGCTGGCATTGACAGTGGATTTGGAGGGAGCAAGGCCGCCGTTGCCCCCCTATGTACTGGTAGTGGCTATTGGCGTTGGAGATCGCAGATGGGGTTGCTGTTAGGGGGTGGAGGAGAAAGTTGGGAATTGATTCTTCATCTTCCTCTTCTGAGTACCATCCCACCATCTCCCCTGCACTATGGTATTAGAGCAGATTATAGACAAAGAATGAGAAAATACTGCCCTATCGTCCATATGATGGAAAGAGTTATACATGGATGCTCATCAAGTTGAGCGACACTTAGCCCGACATGGAGAGTTCGAACTGAAATTAGGAACATAAATATTAGGGGTGGCAAAGGACCCGAACCTGACCCAGAACCCGCTTGGTATTCCCGACATGGGACTGAGTACGGGTCCAACATTTGGACCTGACAGGTTGGATTCTGGTCCAAAATAGGGACTCGAACACTCTTTGGATCCAAGTCGGGGTCCGGTTGGACCTAACTTATACCAGTAAAACGTTAGAGATAAAACATTTCAAGTCCTATTTGTTTGGGGATATTAAAGATCGTATACAACACGAACTTTAGTCATCTTTAACTATTAAACAACAAATCAAACCGCTTGAAATCTAAATGGCGGTTGATTGTGACTTTGTTGGTAATAATATAGGTTTATGATGGTATAAAAGGGTTAAAAATAAAAAGAAGCTCATAGTGAGGCTGGCAATGGATACGATCAAACTCGGGACCCGACGGGTACGGGTATGGGTCCAACTTTTGGACTCCATGGGTCGAGTTTGGGTCCAGCCAGACACGACCCATTGCTGCCCCTAGTAAATATCAAAATTTTGGATATAGAGAGTGTCATTAGCGATAGAGGTAGCAATGGCTTGGGTCAGGTTGGGTCCAGACCCAAAATACACTATGGACCTGAACTTGACCCAAATTGAACCTAGACTCGATCTGGACCCAACTTGAAAATTAGTTTATACATTTAAAAAAGGAAAATTGTTTCATGCGGGCAGGACCGTATTTCTACAATATGCGGTCCAGAGGTATAAAGCATTCATCTTAAAGATGGATGAAAATAGGTGGTCCATCTAAAAATAATTGTAACTAACGGTCCCAATATTTTCTTAGCATGATTATTATTTCCAGTTTTTATTTTTTATGTATTTTTTTTCATATTCATTATCTCCATGATAAAGATGATATATTCTCTAAAAATTAAGATAAAATTATGTTTAAAAAATATATTTATTGCCAAGCCCGCATTTCTACAATATGTGGGTTGGTAGCACAGAAATCGTGTTCGTTAAAAAATCATATATATGTAACTCAAGAAACAAAGAGAGAGATTACCTTGGACCTGAACTTGACATGTGGGGATGTGGGTTCCAACCCCTAGACCCATACTTGAACCTGGGGTCGGGTCTACATGTAGGGTCTCAAGTTCACGGGTCCCTAGTGCCACCCCTACCTAGTATGCATTTTGCTCAAGGGAGTAAATAAATAGTATACTCCTGGGGAAGAAGGAAATATTTTGGCAATTATTAAAGTCGTTGCTATAAGGAAATGTCAAATATCCAAAGCCATTTACAAATTAGAGACATTTATATAGATCATAGGCTCAAAACAATCAAATTAGAGCCTACCTAAAAATTTTTATTAGACGATATTGTTTTGATGCCCAAATATACTCAAATTGATCATCTCGACATCAAGATGCATGGACATGAGAAAAAAATAAATTTCAAGTTTTGGAAATAGTGCATCTTGTAACGCATTTTAGAGATGTTAATTTTCAAGATTTTCAAGTGTTCTTAGATGTGCTTGATATGTAGTATTTTTAAAAATGAAAATATATTTTAACGCTATCACAAAGATTTCCAATATTGAAACCATATTTCTCGATACTATTTGAAGGTGGGCTCTAATTTGATTGTTTAAATCCTCGGCTCTATATAAACCGTACCTTTTACAAAATTATTAGAGAGTTCAAGTTTACAAAATTATTAGAGGGCTCAAATGATCCTAAATTGAGGGTTAGTTTATTCAAGGGGAAATTGCACTCATATGTATTATTTTTATCAATATTACGATTTCACTTAAAACTTTCTGTTATTACCATTGTACCTATTTTATATATGTTACAACAATATTTTGTCAATATTTAAAAAAGTGATGAAATTTCCCTTTTCGGATTTTCAATACCTAAAATCCATATTTGTAAACTAATTGAAATTGAACTTTTTGGATTCTCAATATCCAAAATTATGTTTCCATCTTTTAGCTTTTTGGATGTTCAACGTTGGAAAACTTTCATTTTAGTCCCCCAACATTTTTGGATGTTGACAAATGAAATTTCCGGATTTCAAAATTTGAAAATTGTAAAACCCAAAACACTACAATGTTCTAATTTTCAAAATCCGAAAGTTCCATTTTTAGTGTCCCAATATTTTCAGAATGAATATTTTCATAATGAAAATCCAAAAACATAAATTTTTTTTTTTGAATAGTAAATAAGGGGAATTTGGAAAATTTCTAAATCTATTTGAAGATGTATGAAATGGAAAACAGAAAATAACCCTTGAAACATTATTTGGGATCATTTGACCTTTAATAATTTTGAAAGTTTCAATTCATGCTTCCTAGTGTGAATGGCACATGCAGTGCACGAGCATGCAAAAGATTCATTTAATTTGACTAGATCCATTTTTTTATGGAAAGAGGTGTATTCTATCCAAATATATTTTGTGAAAATATACATATACTTTTTTTAAAAAAAAATTATACAATAAGATTATTTAATTTTAATAAAAAGATATCACAATCATTATTGACCGTTATACGTGAAATTGGATGATTGGAGATATGCCATTTATTGGGCATAAAGTCAATAATATTATTTCTTAAATAGTTTAACAAGCTTTGTTATGTATCAGATTTCATATCTATTAACTAAGAGTGATTATGACATCTTTGTATTAATGGAAAAGTTTATATAAAGATGCTACTTTATGATGTAGAACTACGGATACCCCTTAAAAAATCCATCGAAAAATGTAGTTTTAATGTTGAAAAACCCTTTGATTGATCATCTCGACATCGAGATGTATGACTATGAAAAATAAAAAAAAATTAAAGTCTAATAATATAATTATAAAATTTTATTTAATTGAGAAGGGGAGGTAAGCATTCAGCGTTTGACAACCGTGAAAAGGGGTGTGAAGTATTTTCGCCTGTACTGTGTATTGACTGCGTTTGATCAAAAAAAAAAAGGGGAAGCTTTCACCCCTCAAAAACCATAGTCTCCCTTGCTGCCAACAAAACCCCCCAAATAAAAACCCAGCCACTGAGCTCTTTCAGAGAAGAGAGGGGAACCACGCCAGTTGCTGAGCTCTTTGTGACTTCCGCTCAATCTAACACCCAGTCTCTGCTGCATCTCCAACAAAAGCTAGTGAGTTCTATTGAAATTTTTGACCGCTATTGATGATTTTTCTGCTATATTTTTTGCTATTGATTATTGCTCTACTGTATAGTTTGTTGTATATATCATATATTCATTCATATCTCTCTCTTCTCCATCAGTCTCTCACCTGGACTGCTCTGTTTTCCCAAATTAGTTGAACCCTAAGCAACTGCTCACCAGTAAGCGGCAAAGAAAATCACAGTTAGGGTTTTAATTTTCATTGTTGATGCCAAAAACATCTGCAAGGACTGCCTATGTCAATGGGCCCATTGATTCTTCTAACAATCTTGTTGATAAGCCACCTGATCCTTGTGCTTCTGTAAAAAAATAAAAATATAAAATATGGGTGTTGGCAGTTTGTAGAATGTTAATGACTTGGTTGAGCGTTCTATTAAAACTAGTGATAGGCCTGTTGATCCTGCTTTATCTGCTGAAAAATAAGAGATGGGCATGGTAGTTTATGGCACAACGTTCCTGAGCCTGCTACTAAAATTATTGATAAGTCTGGTGTGAATTGTTGAGAGAATTTTAATGGATTTGTTAATGCGAATGTGTGATGTGATTAGTCTTTCATGAGAGACAGAGAGAGAGATGTTATTAGTCTTTCATGACCAAGGTTTACACTCTTTGAGTGTTCTGGAAATTTTAGCTATTTTTTAGTGTTGTGGACTTTTTTCTCACCTTTACACCCACTTTTCTCTTCATCCAGAACCCAAATCTGTGATGTGATTGGTCTTTCATGAGAGAAAGATGTTATTAGTCTTTCATGACCAAGGTTTACACTCTTTGAGTGTTCTGGAAATTTTTGCTATTTTTTAGTGTTCTGGATTTTTTATGGTTCTGTGTATGATTTTATTTTTATTTTTAAATTTGTTATTTTGCTTTTCATTTGTTCTTGGTTTTTATTCTTAGAGTGGAGATTTTGTCTTTTTGTCATGCAATAATTTTTGCTAATTTCTATTTTTTATTCACGGTTAATGTTTGGAATAGAATTAATGCTCACAATGAACTGAGCATGCCCATCTCATGTTTTCTCATTTCAATTCTTTGCAATATGATAGTTGTTGCCTAGCAGTTGAAAATATGAGATTGTGGCTTGGAGCTTATACATGACACTTGAACATTTCCAATCGACTTCAAGGGACTTGACTGTCACAAATGTTTATTTGTTTGGTTTATGTCTACTGTTTTATTGGGCAAGAAGATTATTGTTCTCTTTTTTAGTTATTTTGATCAGGTTAGAGCATCAATATCCATGTTGCCTCCATGTTCTCAAATTGTTAACTCTCTCTGGTTTGCTCTCTCCTAGGGTTTGGTCTCTCTATCCCAAATCGTATTTTCCGTTTTACTATAATCCTTTTCTCTCTCTCTTTTCCAAATGACCACGACCAGGATTTTTGGGTTCCCGAGCAGTTTTTAGGGTTTTTTCTTCTCTCATGTAACTCTCTCTGGTTTGCTCTCTCCTAGGGTTTGGTCTCTTTATCCCAAATCGTATTTTCCGTTTTACTATAATCATTTTCTCTCTCTCTTTTCCAAATGACCATGACCAGATTTTTTATCTCTATTTGCTCTCTCCTAGGGTTTGGTCTCTCTCTCTATCCCAAATCATATTTTCTGTCTCTTTCTTTTCCAAATGGCCATGAAAAAAGGGTTTATAGGGGTCAAAATCTGCTGGGAGGATATACTCACATAACCAACACCTACTTATCCAAAAAAATAGGTTTACTAGGTTAAGTGTGATCCTAATGGTTCAGGAAACCACAAAATTTACCAGATTTAAAATAGGGTCTTTACAAGAGGTTGTTTTAATACCCAAAAATCCTCAAATTAGATCATCTTGACCACAATATGTATGAACATAAAAAAAAAAAATTGGATTTCAAGTCTTGTAAATAGTGCATCATATAATGGAATTTATGGACCATCAATTTTCAAGTTTCGTAGAACTCGATCTACATTATTTTTTAAGGTTTAAATTTTATAATTAAATATGAATATAAATTTTCAGGCGATTACCAAGATTTTTAATACGGGAACAACTTGTTTTGATACTATTTGAAGGGCTACCTTACTTTGATTGTGTCGAGCGTTGACCATATTCAAACCACACCCATTATCTTATCTAAAACTAATATATTATGATAGTATTATTATGTTAGCTGCTTCATATGTATTTTATATTTTGTATAACATTACTTAATTATCTATTTTATATTTAGTTATTTTAGCTTATTTTAGGTATTTCTAGCTAAAAATATGCAATTGCAGCTAAATTTTTTGAATAAAATAAAAATATATTTTGAAAAAGATTACCTTGTATGTAAAACTTCATGTAAGTCTTTCAGGATTAGCTTTATTGAATTAGTGAATTATCAATGATAATGTCTGCATCCAAACAGGCTCTAGGGATAGATCTTTAAAATCTGGAGAAAGTTTAAAGGAAAATTGTTTCATGTTGGCTGGACTGCTTGACTACACATGTGATCCAAAAAGTGTAAAGCATCCATCTTAATGATGGATGCAAGTAGGTGTTCCATCTAAAAACAATAGAAACTAACCGTCCAAATGTTTTCTTACTATAATTATTAGTTTTAGTTTTTAAAATTTACTTATTTTTTCATATTCATGATCTCTATGTTAGAGATTACATATACTTCACTAAAATCCATATCAAAATAGATTTGTTAATATTTCTACATATACGGGCTTGGCCGCATAAAAACCGGGCTTCGTCTTACAAACTCCTAAAGGTGTGCCTTACACTTGCCAGTGAGGGCTACCTACATAGTAGTGTAAAAGAGGCTTTTGAAAAAGGAAAAGGTTTATACACTTCCTCCTTTTGAAAAAAGGTTGCTGTCACAGGGACTTTCTCATGAAATATATTTTTTTGGACATGGTTTCCATGCGGCCAGCTCGGATATTTTAGACAAGTGGGCTTGGCAATAAATATATTTTTTACATATAATTTGATTCTAATTTTTAAATAATGTATGATATTTAACATGGAGATCATGAATATGAAAAAAATAAAACAATAAAAAATTAGAAATAATAATTATATTAAGAAAACATTTGGACCGTTAGTTATAATTATTTTTAGATGGACCACCTATTTGCATCCATCTTTAACATGGATGTTTTATACCTTTGAACCGCATATTGTTGAAATGCGGTCCAGCTCATATGAAACAATTTTCCTTCTTTTTTTTATATTTTATCATCACAATGTCTCCTATTGGAAACATTTTCCACTATATATGTACTCATGATTTTAAAGCTCAAAAAATAGTGAAACTAAGTGATATGCAAAGAATGAAAATAAACAATCCAAAATAAAAGTCTAGAATAATCTACTTTTAAAGTTAAATAAATTTTTTTTTTTTTTCATTTTTACGATCATCATGGTTTAGATTAGCCTATAAAATTTTGGATCTAAAATCTATCTTTTAAGATGATTTCAGCGAGGAAACTAATGTGTCGGCCCTCAACATGCACTAAATCCCAACCTTTTATAGACTCAAGGCTATGGTGGTCAAGGTGGTAGGTGTCACAACATGACGTCTTAAGTTTCATTTATACTACGAATAAAGAACCATTGTCTCGCTAATCTAACAAAGTTTATTTTATGAGAAATCATATTGAACATACGCCACACCAACCAAAACTAGTGATTTAAAAAACCCCTGGTTGGCATGGAAGATATAGGTCCGACCTGGGAATTGATTACCCTGTTATGCTTTTGTGTATATATAAGAAACAAACGAGTCTAGAAGGAAACCAGCAATTTTGCATAGTAAAATAGCGATAAGGCGATTCTCTATACTAAAATGACGATCCAGACTTCAGATTCACCTATCCATACCACTTTTTGGCCGGTTTACCGTTTTCTCACGTATTTGTTTGCCGTTTCACTGTTTTATCTTACAATAAAACGACGATCCGGATCACCAATTCACATATCCATACCGGGTTTTGAGGTTGGTGGTCTGGGTCATCGATATGTTTTTCAAATCTCTGGCCAAAACCAAAATCGAAATGCATATAAATGAAAACTGGTACCATAGCCAAGAAATGCATGAAAACTGGTACTACAGCCAAGAAATGCATATTGGGACAAAACACATTACCAAGATATGCTATAACATATTTGACGACGGTTACTACATGGTGATGTGATGATCATTACAGTCCCATTGATGGCGGGTGAGTCACCCCAAGCATGTCACTAGGTCAATTGCACATCCTACATTAACATTGTCACCGTCCAACTCATTACCTTGAATTGATGACTCTCATGACTATACTATCGCCACGGTCGCATGGGTTTTAGTATCTACCCCTAAGGCCGTCAATCCTCATATTTACGAGAAACAAAACGTATCCAACAACTCATCCTTATTATTATTCTTTTTCCGAAAACTATAGAATGATTCTATTTATTTTTAGTACGAAATAGTCACCATTATTATTAATAAAATCAATATTTTTGTTTTTATAAATCTAAATTTCATAAATAAAATATCCAAAGATTAAAAAAAATTCAAATAACAATTCTAAAAATCATATAACATTAAAACAAATATAATTAAATAATTTTGATGGGAAAATAATCCATATGGTCTAGGCATAAATAAATAAACATTGAGGTATTTTCACCTTCTACTGTGGACTGCGGTCTACACTTGTTTTTTCAAACCAACTCGGGGTTGCCCATGACCCACAGTCTATGCAAAGGCTGATTAGGGGGTCATCAAAGTTTAGCCAATGGGCAAGGATTTGTAATCCCAGTCTATAGATTTTAGATTTTTCCCTGGAGACGTGTCGATGTCACTTATACCTGATACAACCACAACTCTATGGTTCATAAGCGTAATCTCTCATACATGCACAAGCTTTACCTTGAAAGGTGATTCGTTTTTTCGAAACGACTATCATATGTGCATGTTATGTGATGGTACATTGATGAGGCTTTGGCCCTTTTTTTTTAAGGCATTCATCACACACAGTCCATCGGCTCATTCCAGTCATACTCAGACATCCTCAAGGAATGATCCATTACAAAACATTTTGTGCAAAATATTTTCATGTGAAAATTGCGTTACACATATTTGGTATGCAAAAATACATATAAAAAATTGCCATAAAAAATTTTACCAAAAAATTTTAGAGAGAGAAACTATAACAAATTGTAGAGAGAGAAATTATCAAAAAAACTTTTAGAGAGAGAAACTATCTCAACATTTTTAAAGAGAAAATTATCTAAAACTTTAAATTTGATATAGTTTCAAAATTTTGAGATGGTTTCTATCTCTAAAAATTTTCAGGTAGTTTCTTATCTAAAATTTGATATAGTTTCTCTCACTAAAGTTTAAGATACTTTCCCTCTCTAAAACATAAAATTTGATAAAGTTTCTTTACAAAATT